TCATAATACTCCAATGCTTCTTCAAATCTATTCATTTTAAATAAAGCATTAGCTATAACAATATTTTTCATTTTTACCTTTTTTATAATAATTTTCTGAATTTTAATAATCTCTATCAATAAAGTAATCTAAAAAGTTAAGCGCGAAAAGATTTATATTTGATTTCTCACAAATATACTAAAATTATTCATTATTATTTTTCATAATATTAGACACCTGTTTATGCAAATTAAAATTGTTTTTATTTTACTTGTTTTGTCTCTCACTTTTTATCACTTTTTTATTTTATTTTGCATTAAATGATTATTTTAGGTATTTCAAACTTTTCATTTATTATTTTTTATTATAAAGATTCCAAATATCCTTATATCTCTTTTTTTGAATATTTAATAACTAAAACCCCTTTTTATTTTTTTTTTGCTTTCTGTTGATTATTTTACTAAATAATTTTTAACTTTGAATCATCTATTATGCATTTTATTATTGACTTTATATATTAAGATTATGAATCCTCTTTAATTAATAAAAAATATCAATGCACTTAATAAATGTTTAATTTTCAATCGATTTCCTTACTAATTCTGAGTTAAACTTATTTTAATTCATTATTATTGTCTTAACAATTTCTAAATCTGATTATTAAATATATTATTAGAACTTTTTTGATTATTTTGAAATTTAGAATGCAAAAAAAGATGGCTAATTGAGCTCAAGAATGTAACTTTATTAATACTCGTTTTAATAAGTAAAATTATATTAGACACATTATTTTTTCATTAAAATGTCAATCAAGTTCTAAACTAAATTAAGAAAATAATATCTTAATTGCAGATTATAATGATTAAATAAAAAAATTATTTTATACGTATCATACTTCTATAATTATTTTAAGATTATCAAGTTACTTTTAAAAAATTACAAAATTTATTCACCAATTTTTTTTGAAAATAATTCCAGATTGATAAAAACTTTCATTGAAAACTAAAAAATAATCTTTAAGAATATGATTTTGAATATATTTATTGTGATAAATTAACTTATTTTTAATCAAAGATATCTTGTAATTCGCTTCTTTTCTAAAAAAAATTTACCACCAATAGACTTTTATAAGGTTTTTCTCCTGAAAAAAGGTATGCTACAACAAATTTGTGAATTTAATTGTTGAATATACGTATACACTACACTATATAGCTCGTGTAAAATATTTGGTTAAAATGGGAATATCTAGTAAATTCTTAAAGTTTTGAAAATTAATTTTTTAAATCTCAAAAAACTTTTTCCAATACCTTAAAAAAAATTGTAAATGAAACGAATAGATGAATTACTTTATATGGACTAAAACTAATAGGTACTAATCTGAACTAAACTTCTTGAAGATTAAATTAACTTTTATTTTGTATAAATCCCTGATTAGTTATATTGTTATATATAGATATTAGCTTTAGAATTATTAAACTAAAGATAAACAATATCCTTATTAATTGCAACAATTAACTCTGTCTTAATTTTTAATTATATTTTATCATGAAAAAAAATATTTTCTTATAAACAATTTGAGACTTTGAGTAATTAATTTAATGAATTAATTATTTAACATAACGAAATTTCAAAATTATCTAAAGGAATTTTTTTAATTTGATTTATATTCCATAGATTCACAATTTTAAAACAAGTATACAACGAATATTTAATTAAGTTATGATGAATAATGTTGAACAATTATTATGGGTATCATTATTTAGTTATGTAGAGCCAGCTAAACATTTTTCAACTTATTAGATGTTTAATTCCATGTCTAAGTTTAAGAAGAATTAGTGTAGCACTTCCGTTAACTTTGTCAGTAGCTGAATTAGGTGTGAATGCACAAACAACTTTATTTGCACCATTTAATCTTTCTCCATTACATGCTTCTTGTATTACAAACACATTTTTCACCAGGGTAAGAGAAGATATATGTACAATCTGCTTCGCCGTAACATCCAGGTCTGTATAACTTGGGCAATGTAAAAGAGGGATACATTTAGTTCCATCAGTTTTATCGGAACCTGTAAATTGGCTGTTAATGGAGCTACAGTTTTTGGTAATTGAGGCTATACCCATAACAGTGTGATAAAAAATGTATTAATGATAAAGATATTAAATATAATTTTATAACAAGTACTCCATTTACTAGATGAAAGACTTGTGATTACTTTTTTTATCCAAATAGTAGTGGTCTTTATTAAAAAGTGACTGATTCAACTAGTTTAACTACAGTGGCATCACAATCTTGTGATAACTAGAAAATAGATTCAACAAAGATAGAAGCATAAAAGAAAATCATTATACTTTAATAGTATTAAGACAAACTAAACTAAATGTTAATATGGCTGTGACAATAATGGAATACATTTGTCACATCATTTATTGCTTGAGGATAATGGGGAAGCGTTGCTCTTACTAGAGCCAACACAAAAAATAATTTTTTTGAGCAAGAATAGGTTCAACTTGTGATGTTGTAACATGCAAGGATATTCCAAACCCGTAAAATTAGGGACATTGTGATAATCAAATCTGGCAATTTAAATAAAATAACATCTACGCTCGATTATGCCATCAGTTTCACTGTAGCACCTTGCACACAAAATGAACATAAAAAGATACTGGTGATACTGTATGTAGGATGCAACTATAAAAATTCACATATTGTAATACCAAAGTTGATACTAAATTTGATAATTGCACTTATACATCAAGTGTATTAGCCTATTGAGATTATAATTGCTTTGATATCACTAATTCAACATCATAAATTTGATTTGATTTAGGAGCTTTTGATAGGAAATGCACATATATTTTAGAAACCTTTATAATCCAACTGATGGTTGTGCTAAAGTTCCAGCATCAGGAAAAGATTAATTAACATCCTATACCAGTTATAAAGGTATAAATGAATGTGCCAATTTTTTTAAGATAAGAAAATAAAAATGAAGCAACTTATAGCAAGAGTTTGAAAGATTCTACAATAAAACTGCTCATTATCAATGACATAAATGCCAAAATGCAAAGCCTAAGTGTATTCAGATAATGATAATGATGAAACCGAATGCAAAAATAATGTTGATAGTTGAAAAAAATAATTAAACATGTATAAAAAACTACTAATTTTAGTAGTAGAAATACAAAATTTAAAAGTCATAAGTGTTGTATAAGTACCTAATATTTAATCGTAAGCTCTATTTGTCCATTGTTATTTAAATAATATAATCCTGCTTTCAAGAATCTTCAAGTTGAGTTGTAAATATTTCATCTTAATGACTATATGGATTAGTGATATAGCATTTAATACATGTATCTTGATCACGTTTTAATTAGGTACACAAGGTTGTATTAAAAACACAACTTATTCAAACACTAACACATTCTTGAATCCATACTTCACAAGTTGAATTATATTTTGCTTGGACATTTTTGTTTCTATAGCTAATGCTATATTTGTTACAAAAATCTTGGATAAGCTAAGTCTCTTTTTTTCTTTAATTTTTACAATCAATTTTGATAAAACAAGTATCCACTCTATTTTATATGTAGTTAATTTGTCTAATTATATCGATTTTTTTATAAATAAATTATTGAAAATTGCAAAAACATGAAATTTACTATCTCAAACAAACCAAACATAATCCCACCGTATTTGTCCAAATTCAGGGTAGTTAAAGTTATAGAGATGGATACAAGAATGCATTTTGAATTAACTTCCCAACAATTGTCATAATATTTCAAAAAACAGTTATGATTAGTAAATTTTGTTTAATAAATGCATTCATAAAACATTGTTTTTCCATATTGATTTATAGAAGCGAATTTATGCAAGATTAGGAGGAAAATTATCAATATATTATTCTCTCTTTTTCGATTACAATCTTGAATTAATCTTCCAACCATCTCAATTCCTCAATTTTTACAGATTTCAGTTTAAATTTAACTAAAATATTATAGAGTGCTAACCAATAGATAAATTAATCTTAGATTTCAACCATTTAATCTTTTTTTTATTTATATTTAATGATTCTTTTACCATCAAATTAACACAGCCAAAGCTATATTAATATTTTGAATAAATCAAAAAAATAAATTACTAATTGAAAATAATGTAATTAGGAATATTCAATTCAATTTTTGTTACTTTTCTCCCTAACACTTCCTTTCGTTAATTATATTCATAATTTAAAATATTAGATAATTCTAATTAATTTATGAAAATAGGATTTGCTGACTTTTTAATTAGTTTAAATAAATGAGAGAGAAATTTAGCAATTAATTGATTTAATTAGTTAATTTGAATCCCTTTGTTTTTCAAAATACAAACTCTTACCTGCCCTTCTACTTCTATTCAAAATTATGTTTGATTAAATTTTTATAAAATCTTAATTTTTTATTCATTTATTTATCATTCCCAACCTAATTGGATTATTTTGTAATCTTCATTTTTATTGAGTGACTTGAAAATTTTTGGCTGTTTGGTTAAATAAATTTGTATTAAAGTACCTTAATTTGCTCCTCGTGTAATTTCTATATTGATAATTATAATGACCAAATCTTAGGTTAATGAAATAAAATTCTATTGATTATAGTATATAAATTAACCATAGTTATATCATTTATTCAATATCTTCTCTTTTAGCAAAATATTTAAATCATAATTCCAACTAAATATTCTAGTTATGTAGATTAATAGTTTATCATTTCAAAGGATATGTAAAATGATGAATTATAAGTGAATTCTTTTTCTTTGTCATTATTAAATAAATTATTCTGAAAGCAAAAAATTCTTTAAACCCAGAACTTATCAATTTTTTTTCAAAAGAAAACTTCCCGAGTTAATAGTCCATTTTCCAAGCCATTAAGTCAATTATTAGTTGACTAGTATTATTAGAAATTATTTTTTTTCTATTAGTAAATTTTGAGAAAAATCTATAAGGGTGCAAAGTATTGTAAATTTGATTTACTTGCTAATATTATTTCAGTAATTATTAAATGAAAATCTAAATGCTTTAGAAAGAAAAAGTTAATTTTGTCAGACTAATTTAATTTTAATAAATCTATTTTAAAACATAAATTACTTTATTTTTTTCTAAATAATGATAAAACTTCATTACATAAAATTTTTTATGAGACTAAATGATTCAAGACAAATTTGGAGTATTCATTTTTTGAGAATCAATAAAACTTTAAATACTATAAATCAGAAGGTGAAACTTTTGATCAATAATATTAAATTTTCGATAGGTTTAAAACACATAAGATTTATCATAACAAGTTACTCCATCAAAATTAGAATTTGATTTATAGAATGTATTGATTTAGATTTCTATTGGTATCTCATTTATAGTTATGATAAGCATGTAAACCGAGATAATGCTAAAAAAAATTCTCAAGAATAAATGGCAAAATATTTACTATTTATGAAGAAGCTCAAATAAAATACATGAGAAATCAAGGACTTTTAAATTTAAAACCTAATGATATTTTAGTGAATGCAATCTTTTATTCAATAATGAATAAATTAAAATTGTATTAGAGTGCACCATTTTTTATGTAACCTATAAATTTTTGGATTAAGAAATTATCCAAAAAAAGAATCCTAGTGCATTATTTAACAAATATAAACTAGATTATTTCATAATTAGTTTATAGCAAATGATGTAATAATGCATAATTTAATTTGGCAAAGAAGGATCTTAATTATACTCCTCCTAATTTTAATTCTCTTAGATCTCATTTTTGTTGAATTCATTAATATTTTGATTTTTCATTTTTTGTTAAGCACTAATCAAAATATAAACTAAATAACCAGAATGATTTTATTAATATACATAGCAGACAATTTAAATATAATAAATGAAGAAAAAGGATAATATTATTTTTGAAATAATTTGGATATACTAGCAGAAAATTTAAAAACATAAGTTATTAAAATTATTTATTGTTATATCATATCCTTAAACTACTATTTAAATTTTAATATTTCCTTGATAAAGTTAAATTATTGACAAAAATCTTAAGTATTATTATGATTTAGACTGTTAGTGAGTAAAGGTTAACATCAAAATAAATGATGTTTTTATGATGTCTATTTAATTTAGGAATTCTTACTTATTTTTTAATAATATTTAATAAAATTTATCAAATTTCCATTCAGAAGAGAATGATAAGTTAAGCCTAGTAAAAAATTAATGTTAAATTTTCTTTCAATAATAAATTAAAATGTTATACTATATAACATAGATGATGAAATTGCACTGTTTAGTATATAGTGTCATTTATTCAATATAAAAGATATAAAACTCATAATTACTAATGATCACCTTTTTAATTTTTCTTATAAGCCTTAAAAAATGCAGTTGTCTCTTTATAATCATTTCATGAACTGGAAAAATTATTTAATTGGAATAATCGGATTCTATGAAATATAGATTGTTAATTTTTAAGTTATTAAGCAATTTAATATTGATTTGGTTTGATTTTTATATGTTCTAGTCAAGAATTTAGGAATAGAAATTGGAACAATTTCAATATAAAATATTCTATTGAGAGAGAATCTTTAGATTTCAAAAGAGTAATTTTGTTTTGTCTTTATTAACAATTTATGTTGAAAATGTTTAGATAACAAATAATTAATATTAATTTTATCGAAAATTTTTTTGCATTCTTATGTAGTTAATACTATAACATGTGCTACTATGAAAATAACAAAAACAGTTTAAAATATTCTATAAAATCTCTTTTTAAATATTCAATCTATAAAATTGTTGTAATTAATTTAACAATTAATAATCATAATTGTTAAATTAAGAAATATTGTTTATGTATTATGAAATACATAATTATGTAAATAAAGAGAATGTTAATAGTTTAATTATTAAAATCCTTAAATGTAAAAAAAGATTTGAATCCTTAATAGCATCATCAGATTTCTATTGTTATAACTGTATCCAGAGTATTTTTGAAATAAATATGATTAAAGAAGGATAAATTAAGCTAGACTAGATTTAAGTATCTTAAGTTTAAAATAATAATATATCATTAATTACAAATATTTCAGGTTGTATAAGATTAAACTCCTGAAATAGTATATTAAATCTTTCAAGAAAGAATAAATAATTTTAGAATATTAGCTTTTATTTTTACTATATTCCCATCACAAACTCAAAATATCTCTAAATATTTGAAATATATCTCTCTGATTTTCTTATGAATCAATTGTTCTATTTGCAATTTTCTCTTTCAAATATTCAAACTAATTTCTAAATGTCATCTAAATAAACAATCATTTAGAATGAAGAGTAATGGATGTAATATTTTTTCATATAGAATAACATTGAAAGTATCTGAGATTGCTTTTTAACTCAATAAACTAATGCCTTATATTATGTTTCGAACTGTTAAATTATTATTAAAGGAGTTATTATAGAAGGGTTATACATTTTTCCCTTTATGAAATTCATAATATTATTAAACTCCTTCTATTTAATACTTACTTAGAAAAGATTCAACTGTTTATTCTTTTAATATTATTGAAGTAGATTAAGATCTAGGTATTCAAAATATTATGTCATTCAAATATGTAAACATCTTCAAAATTTAACTTCTTAATTCTAATCCTTTACAATTTTATTTATTCCATAAAATTTACTCATTATTATCCTGATAAAGTTTTAGCAATTGTGTGTCATAAAGTATAATAATCAAAATTTAATTAATTATTACTCAGAATAATTTAAGAACTGAATTATTAATAAATTCAAATCTATCTATTAATAGTTATAGTTATAGTTATAGTTATAACTTTTACAGAAGGAGTTGATATTTATTCTATATACAATCTTTTCATTTCAAGATTTCCTGAAATACTCTAAACTAATAATTATAATGAAGTTTTTTCAATTTTCACCTAATCCTGATAATATCCATTATCAATATCAAAGATAAATAAGTACAGATATAAATATATATGATCAAAAAAAGTAATGAATAAATGAACGAGCAAAAAAATTTACAATAGAACTAGATTGGTAAGTCAAATATTCACTTCCAAAAAGCTATTCCTAAGCCAAATTCATAATCAAGATATATAAATTTTTAATTATTTACTCTATTCAATATTTCTTGTCTCATATGTATTTATATGTATATCAACTTATATTTCAATTCAAATAATTTTCTTCATCCCTAAATAAATTAATGTTTAAAATTTACAATATATTTTCTCCAAACATTTAATACCATATGCCAACTTTTTTTCCATTAAGATATTCACCACAATAAAAGACTTATCCATACCTAATAGATATTTTTCTCAATTTTACTCATAAAATCCCTCGATTTCTTCGATCCACTTTCCGACCTTAATCGAATCACCCATATGATTATCTTTTAACTTTTCATA